ACATACATGATAAGAGGTTTAGGAATCTGGGTATTAAAATTAGGACAAATGCTGGTCAAAATACGTGTATGGGAGACGCTAGGGAGCAAAGGATAGTTAGTGAGAGTGGTAAACCTCTCCTAAACAGCATTGGACGCCAAACAGTAACGATAATAGGGAAGAGATCCTGATGGAATTCATAAGTTCTACCGACCATTTTGCAAAAGAAACTAGGAGTGATATAGAATTACCTATCGTTCCTTTAATTGATAACCATGTCGAAATAACACCCAGGAATAAGAGAATAAAAACATCATAATGAAACTAAATGATGGGGACCGAATGGTGTTGAGGCCAAACAAAGGAGGAGCAGTGGTAGTTATGGCTAGCTTAGTGTATATATAAAAACTGGTGAAGGCTTTGGATGACACATAGAAGGTTGTCGTAGGGAAACCCCCTAAGTCTAGGCTCAGGGATTGCCTGCAGCATTACGTAACAAACGGGGAACTGGATAATTTGAAGATGAACACTTCTTCAACGAGATGCTAGACCTCTGAATACATGTGGTCCGCCCAAAATACATAAAGATAGAGCCTTGCTTAGAAGTACTGTGGACAGCAATCGGGGCTTGATACATTCAACATCACGATTCATCTGTCACTAGTTAAAGCAAATCTCTTATACGTGGAGGGTTCCAGTTGAGAATTCTTATGAATTCGTTATTTTAGTCGACGTGTAGGAGATAGAATTTGCGAATTTGCTAGTAAGTTTTGATGTCGAGTCTATCTACACTAACATTCCTGTAGACGATGTCATGAAGGCCCTGCAATCCACACAAGACCAACACTCGGAGATTATAATGAGCATGAAGTTAAGCAAACTGTCAATAATGATACTGGCCAACCTGGTGATGCATTGTACATATTTTTCCTTTATTGCCAAACTATACAAACAAACACGATGTTCAGTTGTGGGATCGTGTTTGTCACCAATTTTATAAAATAATTACATGGATCAATATGAAGAACGCTTAATTCATGAGGCATTTTAATCCCTAACTCATTAGTTCGCTATATGGGCGATTAGTTTGCTGTTTGGCGGCATGTCAAAGTAGACCTAAAGAATTTTCTTCGTTTGATAAACAGGACAGACGAAATTCACCATCAAGTTAGAGAAGGGATAGGGTTAACCTTTTCTTGATGTCCTTGTCAGCAGAGGAGCGCTTTAGGTCGAGCTGTATATAGAAAACCTACAAATACATGTTTCCTTTGAATTTATTTTCCAACAATAATTATCGGGTTAGAGTAGGATTTATCAAGTCAATGATAATAACGAGCCTGCGTCTGGTAGATGTTAAGAATTTGGACTAGAAATTGAGAAGACTTGGAGGAATTCTGGTTGAAAACGCTTATTCACGAGGACTGATTGACAATCGTCTTAGAATATTGTCAAATAGGATGGAGGGAAATAAATATTTGGGGCTAGATAAAAAGTTAGATTAGCAGAAGCTGTCATCGTGTAATCTGTCCAAGAAGATAGACGAATTATTGAGGTGTGGCATAACGACTATTTATAAAGAGGAAATAAAATTTTCCTTGCTTTTGCCTTCTTTCAGAAAATATTCTTACTTTCTCTCCAGATCGGACTTAAAAGATTTGGTGTTCATGCTGTAGCGACTATGTGAGAGAGATCTGCAGGCCCATACGATATAAATGATCATACCTGTATGTTACTTACCGTGTTGCCCTTAATTTATAGAGCCACATCATTCACCCTATAAGAACTCTTCAATATTAGGCATGCTAACTACTGTTTATAGTGGTGCTTATGTCTTGAATACCCATCATTCGACACTATCATAGCCTGCTTTTTAAGTTATCTTGCGATGACAGTCTTGCGGACTGGCAAAGTATGCTTTCTTTGCCATTACCAACGTTTCTGGAGAAGCCATAATAAAAGATCTAGGCGTCCATGGGCCTCAATCATTATTATGGTTCGTTTATAACGCAACAGTTTTACATGATTTTACAGTGTATTGCAACTCCAGGACGCATTCTCGGCCTGCATACCATTCCTATTTTATCACTGCCACCAGTTTATTCCATCCACCTATCAACCACATCAGAGATCCGCAGTTATCGCTCATATAATGTGACAAGCATTCAGCCACATCTTATCAAATTACATAAATAGGCAAGAAAAGGTTATCACCAAACATCGACTAAAGTAGCCGTGCAATCCAGGCCGATACCACCGTAAATTGTCTTCAAATGACCGCTTAGGATGTTACCGAGGTGAGATCCGAATAGCTATACAATGCACCCTGCCGGGAGGTTTGTCTATTATTTGCAGTCTTGCACGAAATTGGGTCGCCTGCCAAACTCCCTCATTTCATTCATCTATATAATTACATGAGTGCATCAAGAAAAAGTTATTTAAGTATTTCCTTCGGCGTAAAAAAATGCTAATGCCAATTTTTCGCCCGCACACTATCCTTAATTAAGCTAGAGTTCTATGTGCTTACACTGCGGGAATAGTTAACCCATAGCGGGTAAGCTCCACAGACTTTAATCAGATTATAAGCAAAGGAACGAACTATATTGAATTCTTGAGGAAATCTGAGAGCTAATTTTGTTTAGAATAGTAACTAATCTTAAAGGTACCTGGAGGGTCGCCAGTAGGCCCAAACAGTGTCTATAAGAGAAACCTCTTAAGATTAATACCATAAGTCCATCTCTCAAGTTTGTCAATGTACAAAGCTGCTGCTCATATTAACCTATCATAAACTGGATAAAAGTGCTTTTATAAGAGCCAAAGAAACTTACCTTCCGATGTTTCGTGACTCTTGCAGGTATACTGAGGCCTGTGTGGATCAATTTCGTCGAGGCTGGGCTTTTTTCATACAGGTTTACCAACGCAGCCAGCCTTGCTGGGTTGCTAAATCACGCATACAAGAGCTACAGTGGAATAACTTCAGTCAACTTGTCTTACAATTGTTCGAATGAAAACAAGAAAACGAAGTAAAATTACTTTTATACAGCGAAAATAGACCGTCACCAAAACAGGTGTCACATTATCTCTGTCTTCTTATGTACGATTTGACCCATCGTTGAGTTTATGAATCATCTTATTCGACCTTCCGGTAACCAATCAGGAAGGAATGGTATTTTAAAGTGCTTATTGCACCATGACCTCGATGAATCCTTGCTGAGCTTTTGCTCGTCATATGGCGGACATTGTGAGAGCAGGATATCTTGCTTTACGATAATTCGCCAAGCGTGAAGACAAGAAAGTTGGCCAACTGCAATCCTACCTACTTATAGTCTAACTTTGTCCACTTAACGAGGCATCTCATGATTTGGTTGAATATCCTATGCTTTTCCTACACGCTTGATTAAAAGTGTAGTGGCTGCAGATAAAACGTTAAATAAAAAGCTTCATCCTCCCCTAAATAACTTACATTATTGATCTTGCCATATTGACGCATGTAGTTGCGTTCCATCGCGCGTGTGCTACATGCATGCAATACGGGGGATGTGAAAGTAGAATCCAGATTTGAGTCTAAATAAGTTTCTTGTTCGGCGGTACTTCTTGTTCTCTCTTTCTTTCTCTAATCTTATCCAACAGCCACAAGTAGTTTCCGATTAATTTCCTACACTCATTCATCCTATTCAAGGTGTTGACTGTTTTGTTGATTTCTATTGCTCCCCTAATCTTCCGTTTAACAGTATAGTTTCCATATCCAGCAAGGTGTTTGGCTCTGGACTATTCTATATTGTATCCTGTGTAAGTCATGTGTTCGGCCATCTCAGACTTTTGGACCTGAATCCCTTGTAGTCTGTTCTATGTTTAGATAAACTCTTGTGTATGGGTCTGCAGGCCTCTATCACATATATGCTACAACATGAACACAATAACTTATAGTAACCCGACATGAAGCGAGTCCGAAAATTCTATAAGCAATTGCATTACGGAGGAAAGTATTATTTTTCACTTATATATGGTCCTGATGTCTCACCTTTTGAGTAATTCACCTGTGTTTTTCAAGAGCTAACAAGACGGTGACATCAGGACCTTATTAGAGTGGTCTAGCTGCCTATTTCCCCCGAATACATGCTTTCTACATACCAATATCATATATTTTCTCGACCTACCACGTAAACTCACTAGATTGAGCCACGGAAAACCGTTTGAAAAGACCTGGTATAAACTAAACAGTTGTCCATTGTAGTTGGTTCATTATACATACTCGTCGATCAAGAAGGCCTAGTGACTTAGCACATATTCTTTAGGCTATGTAGCTTATAAATTAACTTCCCAGGTTTGTCTAGACTGAACTCTAGAAAATATGTACAAACGCTGTCTTTCGATACGTTGAAGACTTAGGCAAGGCAGAAAAGAGTATACAGCACATATCGTATAGTTATTTATTCTTTATATAGTGAACTCGAGTGAGTGTGGAATCTAGACTCCAATTATACATATACTTGCATAAATATACGTGTGCGTTTAGGTGAGCGGCTCTTTGCGTACCGACATGAATGGATTGTCCTCAATTCGGTTGCCAGCTAAGGGTGAAGGTGTCATGCAGATTTGTGTGAAGAGGGAAATTTTTCGGTGGACGACCTACTTATGTATACATACTAGAAACGAATGCAAGAAATAGTGATTAGATGGCGATATGGAGTTCCCTTATGATGAACGGTGAGATAGTTTTTATTGTACAAAGGAAGGAGGAACGCAAAGCAAATATGCATGAAAACCTTATGATTAGGCAGGGATATAGATCGGTTTGGGAATAAAATGCAGACTCTTCAAAAGGGGTGTGAATGATTTTGATCCTTCTTTACCGGAGCAGTTATAAATGCCGAAACCGTTGTCTCCTACCCCTATCTCCAATAAGCTCTATCAAGTTACCAGGTTACCTAACATCTGTTGGGCATTAATATCCTCAAAGTGTAGATGTGGCAATGCCAACAAAAGCGGCGCCGCTCAGGAGCTGTGGAAGCCAGCCATTATTATTACCAGGCAGCCATTGGTGAGGCAAGAGGAGCCAGTTGATAGTAGGCTGATGCACTGCCGCCCCGAGCATCTGGACTGCTAGTTGTCAATCCATTGGATTGTTGGTGGTGTGCGTTGAGTTGGTGTTGATGCTGCTGTTGCTGCTGGAGCTGAGGCTCTTGGGACTGGTGTTGAGTCTGTTGGCTATGCGAGTGCATCATGTTCGACTCTAGTGAGATTTGAGTATGTGATAAATGAGAATTCTGCTGCTGCCTTGATTGGTGATGATTATATGAATGGGGTGAAGGTTGCCGGTGATGATGTTGGCCATGTTGATGGGAATGAGATAGATTAGAGGACACAAGTTGCGGAAGGGTCTGAAGATGATGATGGTCGACAAGATGGGTGTCGTGGTAGCTTGAGAACCCTGTGAAGTTGGATGCTCCGGTCGAGGC